AGCGCGCAGCAAGTCCTGCTCTGCTAGACGCAGATGCAGGGCCCCCAACAAGCAGCGTATGCTGTCAGCAACTTCTTCTGCTTCTGCTGCTGCTGCTGCTGCTGCTGCAGCAGCAGAAGCTGCCTGCTGCTGCCGCGGATCAATCATGCCAGCTGCTGCTGCTGCCCCTGCTGCTGCTCCTATAGCTGTGTCTTCTGCTGCACCTCCTGCTGCTGCTGCTGCTGCTGCTGCTGCTTCAGCAGCAGCCAACGACTCCAACGAATCAAGCTCCCGCTGCAGCAGCTGCTGCTGCTGCTGCAGCAGCTGCAGCTGCAGCAAGTCGCAACGGCCTCTCCCGCTTGCAATGGCAGCAGCAACTGCAGCAGCATTCAATTCATCCTGCTGCTGCTGTTGCTGCTGCTGCTGCTGCTGCTGCTGCTGCTGCTGCTGCTGGCTGGAGAGGAAGAGAGGGTAGAGCCGCATGCAGCACAGCAGCAGCTGCATCCGCGCAGCACTAACAACGTCGCCAACTGCAGCAAACAGTGCTGCTCCCTGCAGCAGCAGCAGCAGCAGCAACAGCAGCAGCAGCAGCAGCAACACAAGCAATAACAGCAGCAGCAGAAGAAGTAGCAGCACCAGCAGCAGTAGCAGGACAAATAACAGCATCAGCAGCAGTAACAGCATCAGCAGCAGCAGCAGCAGCATCAGCATCACCAGCAGCATCAGCAGCAGCAGCAGCAGCAGCAGCAGCAGCAAGAATTAGTGTTTACCTGTTTGGCGTGTATAAGGGCCCTCGTGCGGCGGCCTGTTGAGGTGTACATACACCCCAGAGCAGCATATGCTGCTGCCATGAGCTGCTGCGCCCTACAATCTAAACATTTATGCAGCAGCTTCTGCTGCTGCTGCTGCTGCTGCTGCTGCTGTTGCTGTTGCTGCTGCTGCTGCTGCTGCTGCTGGCAATGGCTGTGACTGTATCTTCTCTCCGATTGTCTGCTGCTGCTCGTGCTGCAGCGTCTAGGGCTGCAACTCTCGTGCCTGCGCTCTGCCTTTTGCTGCTGCTGCTGCTGCTGCTGCTGTTGCTGCTGCTGCTGCTGCTGCTGCTGCAGCACCCGCAGGCAGAATGCCACGCCGTTGTTTAGGAGCCGTTCTTTATCAGCAGCTATCGTTGCTGATGTGCAAGGCAGCAGGGGGGGCCCCCAAAGCATGTGATTGCTGCTGCTCCTGCTGCTGCTGCAACTGATAAGAGGCGCACACCAAGCAGGTAGAGAGTCAAGGTCTCTCCCGATGGCTGTAA